GGGAAGCAATATCCCGTTTACTTCGCTTGCACTGCGAGAGACACTCGGCGCCCACTAAGACCCTGTGGCCGTGTGTGCCAAACACCCTGCACCGTAGGTACCTAAAGCCGGCTCTGGATATGGTTGAAAAAGACACCACTGGAATTGAAGTTGAAACAAATGAATTTCATTTATATATTTTAGTCGATCGATGTTATTGAATGATGTTGGTGTTTATTAATGTGCCTTATTCTATTTTCCTTCTTTGAAGTTTAAAATACGACAGTAACCGCTTTTCATTAAGTGGACCGTATGTCTGTCCGCCGGGTTGAATCCTAAAAATTCGACTTGTAAATATGCTGTAAAATGAAAATGCCTTTATTATGTTTCATAAAGAAAAGTTGTACTTACATATCTTTTTGTTATTACCATAATGTCAACTGACGGTCGTGTGCAGCGCCACTCTGCTCTTTTAATCGCAAAGATCTGAGCTCTCTCTCTCTCTCTCTCTCTCTCTCTCTTATGTAATAAAGATAAGCATAAAACAAAAAGATAGATGCACTTAATTACCATAATTCACGTAGATAAATATTACAAAACACGTAAGTACGTTGCTCTGATCCGAAAGTAACTAAGGCACTTGTGTTATAGAAATCAGAAACAGTGATGGTACCACATTGACCCGGCTGGGGACCTCAGTGATAGCGACACCGTCAAAATAGATATTGCTAAAGCAAAAATGAAAATTAATAGCTGTTGGTAAATCAGCTTTGAATATATAGATTTTAAGACTTTCGTGGTTATTCACTAAATGATTATCACTAGTATCAGGTTTCTTCTTTCTATAGATTTCTATAGATAAAGCTGTCATCTGCCGCCGTCCAGTCAACCCGTGATCATGGAGCGTGCAACCGTTCTGAAATATCGGGAAAATAAAAAGAAGTCATACCGTGGTAAGAAACCTGATACTAGTGATAATCATTCAGCTTTGAATATGTTAGAAAATTGCATGTTCAAGTAGTCTAGCTATGATGCGTTTATCTTTCCCCATACCACAAAGCAGTTATAATAAATGGAATTTCATTCATTTAAATTAACACAGAAACCTGAAGAACCTAGTTTAGACAATTACACGTTCCTAAAAACTCTGAAGGACATAATTTACAATTTACAAAGTTCGATTCAGAATGCTACATTCTATACTGTAAATAAAACGTTGTTACGTCTATTTGAGTACAAAATAAGCTTATTAAATTTCGGCGTTAATATTATAAATGCATATATACACTTTTAAGAAGTTGAGCAAATTTTTGCCTAGTGTACCAAAATCAAGTTGTCATAGTAGAGGGAAAAATAATAACGGCGTTGCCAGTTAGGTGCAGGGGTAAACCCTTTAAAGCAGAATGGTAGTTTAAAGCCAAACCGTCAACTTGGCAACTGTATTGTCTTGACAACTGCTCGATGCTATGTGAACTCTGCAATGATAATGCAGTTCTCTAAACCGCGTTACATGAAAACCAGACAGAAATCGTGAAATTTCAAATGCTTTACCATTTTTATAAACCACTAATGGTTTTGGAAAATTCAGCTCCAACGGGAAATGAAACTATTGTTGTATTTGGTTTCCTAGTCACCTGTGACTTCGGTACCTGTAAAGGCCCTGAGACCGTTGGTTTGTTTGAAAGAACAAATAAACGCGATTTATGTAGATCCGAAAAATAGTTTTATTTTCTATGTGTAACAATGACGAAAACCTAAGAACTCGATAGCTCTAATCAGTTTCGAAATAAAGGCCATGGAATTAAAAAGAAATTACATTTCAAATGTCAGGCTTGCTTTCAAGTTGGCCGCTTAGGCCAATAGAATGTACTTCCTTTAGAATCCGCAAGACGGCTAAACTTTAGAGCCAATATGATTTTTTTTACAAAATTATGCATACTATAACTTATTTAAATGCTCTACGGTATTGTAAGGTTACAGTTTCCATAACACTGTGTTAACCACAGTACTACAAAATTATTGTACGTCATATTTTGTATTGCCTTGTTTTGTAGAAAAGGTATTTGTGTTTTAAAAGCTTGCTGGCGTCTAAATTGTTAACTACCAATTTAAAACTCAGCCGACCATAATACATGCCTTAAAGATATATGCAGAATTTCCCTGCATAGGCATTATGCATAGTTTCCTGAAAAACCCCCATAGTCACCCCCTAGGCGCGGTATGGGGTGAGAAAGGTGCAGTTTGGGGGGATTGCCTAATGGACGGTGGAGGATTTAAATGTTTTGTTTTTTTACGCTATAATGCTCTTCTGTATCGACGAAAAGCCAAAAGCAATGTACTATTACATAACAAGCAATACAATAAATACAATACAGCTTCATACGTCGCAGACGTCTCTTTTACAGCTTTACGAGATAGACGAGTTACTTCTAGAGTCGACAAATTAGAAGCCTTACCTTCTACTTGCAGATTTATTGACGATTTCTTGTGCTCACGAAGCATTTTCCTGACTCAACTATAATTTCTTTAGGTAACTTCAATAAAAAATTACTAGGTAATGTAGTTGTGTTGAAAACAATTATAACTCTATACATGGTTATTTATTTTTTTTATATAACATCATGTGACGGGACGAACAAGTCATGTGCCTGGTGATAAGCTACACGCCTGTCCATAACAGTTGCAGCGTCACTCAGAGCTTTAAAGATCTGAGGGACACTGCCACTGCGTCTGTCATCCTGAAACATAAGTTGACACGTCGCATGTGCTTGTAATTTCACCAGCACCCTTACCCTTCAAAACTAGAACACAGTAATGCTGACATTACTGCTTGGCGGCAGAAAGGTTAGGTGGCAGTCTTTCCCTGGACGAACTCTTTCACAAGGAGGTCTATGGCTACTAATATTTCATACTTCCTCGCCTATTTTTTTTTCTCTGGACGGGTGAAATTACAGGCACATGAGACTTGTCAACTTATGTCTCAAGTTGACAGGCGCAGTGGCATTGCCTTTAAGATCTTTGCGATTTAAAGCTCTGAGTGGCACTGCAACGGTTATGGATAGGCGTGTCGCTTACCACCAGGTGCACGACATAGTCGTCCCGTCGCTTGATATTATAAATTTTACTATATGTTACGAAATATCACAAACTAGTGTAATTAGAGTGCCGATTTATTGGTAGGTCAATGGCCGAATGTCAATTTATTTGACATTTATTTTGCATTTCCTTTTATTTATTGTATTGCATATGTGGTAAAGTAATTCTCATCATCAAGAGCCTATCGTAGTCCACTGCTGGACATAGCCCTCTCCCAATGCGCGCCATTTCGCCCGGTCCTCAGCTCGTTGCATCCATCAGCTGCCAGCAGCCCTTCGCAAATCGTCACTCCATCTGGCCATAGGGCATCCTACACTAAGTTTGCCGACCCGTGGCCTCTACTCAAGAACTCGCTTCTCCATCGGTTATCGGTTCTTCGACAGATATAACCAGCCCACTGCCACTTCAGCTTGATTATTCTACCAGTTATGTCGAAGATCGTAATAAAGTAATTCCCATGTAACTATACAATAAATTTGCCATTAAGACCAATGACCATGAGTGCTGGAAAATATGGTCTGATATGCGATGTCTATAGATACGTAGTAAATTAAATTCCCCTATACGGCAGTAAGCAAATTTGCTATTCTAGCGTTCCCCTTGTCTAGTCATGATGCCTCCCTACCCCGGCGTCGGCAGGGAGGTACCAGGCGGCGTACGGCGCCGAAATTGTGCAAACTTCTGCAATGTCATATTGAATAGCGAAATGCCAGCGCTTTTATGTGCACATTGTTCAATGGAAACTTATATAGGTGTTGAATGATTATATTATTTAATCAAGAAAAAAATATATACACCGTGACATTCAATAACTTTAAAATTACAATTATTAATACTGACATCTCTAGCAGCTGCTGGTATCTGTAAAGGTACTTGCCTGAGTGAAGAAATAGATTTCTCACAGATGGCGCTACGGCAAAAATGTCGTTAAAAACAAAAAAGATTTGCAACAAGCACATAGAGAAATTCGTAAAGTCCGCTAGTTCGTCCCGTGGCATAACGTCTGCACGGTTTGCTGGAAGACGTTGGTTCAAATCCAGCAGGATCTAAGGATTTTTTTCTAAGTGTTCGATCTTTAAAAATTATGATAAACTAGTAGAGTAATTTCACAAAATACTTTTGAATAGCATGTTGGTCAAACATCATGACATTTACAGAAGTTATCTGATTAAATAATTTACGGTCACTGACTCAAAGTGAACTTTAAAACAATGGAATTATCCTTGAAAAGGCTCAAGTTATCGCGTTCGGGAAACTGTCTGAAGGCAAGGAATTCCACTTCAAAGCTTCGAATTAGAAAGTGGAAAAATTAAATTGTTCAATTCCCTCGCCCACTCTTTGTAGAATACCAATAAGCAGGCAAATTTACGTCGGTATTTAGGGCTCTTCCGCTTCACCTATACTAAGTATGTTGCCTATAAGCCTCTTGGTACGCTTTCCATAGGTGGCAGCAGCACTCCATGCATGACCAGACTTGTGCTTGGTACAACTGCCCCGGTGTGTAGTAACACCTCACCCTGGAAAGGATGCCAAACTTCTTGGATGCATTTTGGGCCATGGATTCTAAGTATGTGCCTAAGTACAAATTGGACGACAGGTGCATTCCAAGTAGCTACTTTATGAATAATTATTATAGTAGGTACTATATTAATAAACCAAATAATAATGTGCCAGACAACCAATTGCTGGGTCTCAAACTAAGGTATTCCCTGTACTATGAGTACCAGAGCAATGGATTCAGACCAGAACCAATTTACAAATTTACATTTCTTAAATCTGGGTGGTTTCCTCATCCAGCGCCCATAGTGCAAACTGTTATGCCGCAGAGGCCGTCATTTTCATCTGTCTTATTTTACATTTCGTATATTTCAAAAACACAATAAATTTTTCTAACGATGCTCTGTATACTTGTTATAGGTGCACTAATGGAGGCTTCATCATCCGACTACAGCGACGAAGAGGTGGGAGTGCTTGCGCGCGGGCAGAAACTTTGGGTACGCGGCGTGCGAGCGCATACGACGTGCGCTGACATTGTACGCGCACTGCAAGGTGCGCCTGAAGGTATACCTTTAGGGTACAACTTCACTTAACAGCACGGTTTAGCATTGAATACGTGATAAACATGCTGGTAGGTGCTGATAAGTGCAGTTCAATCTTAAATAGATTTTTGTTTATGATATTAAGCGGGATGAACAAGTCGTGCGCCTGGTGTTAAGCGACATTCCTGTCCTTAACAGTTGCAGTGTCACTCAGAGCTTCAAATTGCATAGATCTGAGGGAAACTGCCACTCCGCGAGTCATTCTGAGACATAAGTTGACAAGTCTCATGGGCCTGTAATTATACCAGCACCCTTCTTACCCTTCAAAACTGACTGATAAAAGATAGCTAGCTATACCAGACTTTAGCTCTCCTTTCTTTGATTTTATTCATTAAGTTTTTAATTAAATTACCTGGAACACGATGGATCAATACGGTGATGCAAAAGATACAATAATAGTTATTTCGTGGTGGAATTTTAATTAAATGTTATAAAATCTTAATTTGTGTTTAAGTTTATTGGCAGATTTTTTAATTCTTAGCTTCCACTGACTAAAATTCAACTATATCATTGTTACAGTAGGCGGCCTAAGCGAGCACGGCGAATGGGTGCTGGCGGAGCGATGGCGCGGTGTAGAGAGACCCTTACCTCCAGATGCGCCTGTGTTGCATGTGTTGGCGGCGTGGGGAGATGCCAGACACGAGGTGAGTAGTTTTCAATTTGGACTACAAGTTTATTGTATGCTCCTTTGACCCAATTACCTCAAAATAAAAGTTCGATGGCGGATACGAGCTTCTAGAGAACAGAAGGATTTCATTCAAATGTATTATTGAGATTTTTGTGCAAAAAAAAATGCACTAGTTTTGTCTTGGCCGTGGGTTCAAGTCCCACCGGGCTGAAGAAATTTTTCTATATGTTCGTTCTTTGTATTAATAGTCTTGGGGATTTTTTCATTTAAAGACCTTTAATGTTAGGTTAGACACTAGACTCTTAACATGAGGACGTCTCAGGTACAATTCTCGGTTGTGACCAATTTTTTTTTTTTTTTTTTTTTTAAGAAATTTAAGAAACTTACGTAAGCTTTTAACGAAATCTGATCCGATTCTGATTGTGTGTTCAGATTTAATAACGCACACACTAATAGCCCCGCTAGGGAAACTGGAAATTTCATATCGCGAGTGCCATGGAAGCACAAACATAGACCACCACAAATTACACCCAAATCAGAGCTCCGTCACTCGCTCGAGGTTATGCGATAAGTGCCTGCCGCTGAGTGTATCGCCGACAGTGCAAGCGCTTAGACAAGTCTTTCATTTACATTACAATCCTTGTACAACCAAAGCATTCGGTTCCGCACAACTGCACACGGCGGGCAACGTTATTTTCAACTCTCTGAGCGCGTGCTTAGGTTCCTTTATCCTCGTAGTGGGCGCCTGGTGTCATTAGTCAGATTTAGTAGGCTATTATAGCGTAGATATTTTCGATTTTGTTTGAGAACGATGTATCTGTTACGTACGAGTAACTATTAAGTAGTAACTATTAAGTAACCTGTGCCCAAACTGACGAGAGAAATAAATATAGTTGGTACAATTATTTCTCCCGGCCCGGGAATAGGCACCGGGACCACTGTGTGGCAGACCAGAATGGTAACCGCAACCACAGAGGCAGTCAAAGTTCATAGCACACTGGATTTTTGACAGCAGAAGAACTGGTGTAATTGTTTAGCACACTTTTTTATTAAATCTCCCAGGTCCGTCTCTCCCTCCGACGAGTATCAAGCGGAGAAGAAGATTCCGGGCGAGACAGCGATGCTGGGAGCCGCGGGGGGAGGCAGCGACGCCGGAGGGGTGCAAGAGCCGCCAGCCCGCCCCCGCACAGACGGGACGACCCTGCTACTAAACTTGTCTCTGTTATACAACACCAGAGTCGGACAATACATCAGCAACTTGACAAGTTAAGGTAAACTATTCATACATAACAAAGTCGTGTCTAGGCTGTCAAGTTACATTTTGACCTTCGCCATGTTGTACAATCAATTATTCTGACAACAATAACATTAATTATACTTACTAACTTTACACTTATTATGTAGAAAATGGTGCATAATAGATAACAAAGTTGATCTCCTGACATATTTATGCAACTTCCTTGCAAAGTTGCATAGGCATCACAGTAACTTTTATGAAAAAGTTATTTATGCTATGAAGAATTGTCACTTTAAAAAAGAGTTGTGATAACCATAATGTTTATATCAGGAATTTACAAATATTGTAAATACATAATAAGTGTAAACAAATATGTATTGATGTTACAGTCTCTTTGGGATATTATTGATTTATGAATGTTATTTTCAATTTTGAATATTTCGTCTTTTGTTAGTGTGTCAAAAAAATTTTTCATGGATGTGTAAGGAAGAAAAATGGGTAATTATTTTTCTTCCATTGACTTACTTTCTTCCTAACATTCCTTTAAAATCCTTTTACCATTTCCAAAGCATTTTCTTATGCATTGTTTCCGGAAGATAGTGTTTAGAAGAATTTTTGCCAATGAAATATTTTGAGTATGAAAAATTTTCTAACTAATCATAGGTTCTTGAAGTGTTCATCTGAATACTAATTTGTAATAACCACCCAATTTTGTTTACAGGGAACAAGAGAAACTAATAGACCAATTAGAAGACCAAACACACAAGAGCAGAATGGAGAAACACGGTACCAACTACTTATTAGAATGCTACCTTCGCGATTTGGGTAGAAATTGTGACGTGAACGACAGCCAAGCCGGGAACAGCGACAGTGGCGTTGGTGTCGGCAGCGGGACTCCCCCAAGACGACACACGAAACACAAATCAAGAAGAGAAAGACACCTCATGAGAGAACATTATTTTACAAAAGAACTGACTGACATTTGTCAAGTGAACGCCGAAAGATTGAAACAAACTCACAACGATACAGACTCAGAAAATTCAACAGATGAACTCAGTAAAATAAGAGAGGAAGTCGAGTTATTAGAAAAGTTAGCTATTATAAACAAAAGATTGCATAGAGAAGAAGAATTAGTAGTGAGATTGACGGCAAAAGTAAAAAGGTACATGGACGAAAACAAAGCAAATAGTTGCGAGAACGTATCGCAGGTAAAAATGTTAATAGATAAAATTGAAGAAGAACTATCTACTAGTACAAAAGAAATGCATACTAACGCTGTAGAATTGGCCAAAACGGAACATGACATTGAAGATCGAATGAAGCTATTGGATGAATTGACTTTAGAATTAGAAGAAGAAGAACTACAGAACGCAGTACTAGAAAAACAGTTAAACGAAGCATCGTGTCGTCAACCAATCGTTTTGCAAGATACTTACGTACCTGTTTTAGATCAAGCGAGTGAGCCAATCAGTTATGGCCCCGGTTACGTGTTAGATACTCTAGTATGACAATAAGTTTGTTTGTATACGTCCCAAAGATGTACCTTTGAAATTACCATTTTTGTTAATGTTTTCTTTTAAACTCCACGTTGATAGTATTTCAGATTATAATCATAGTATAATGAAACAAGTAGGGTAACTCCATACAAAGTAGCAGCGCGGGTTGCATGTGTGCACGCCCTTCTCGCGCCGTATACGAACACACACATTCGCATAATCTCGCGGTGCATTCGAGTATGAGGTAGCCGTATTAGAAAATAGCGCCGTTTTGCAAACCGGTTGGCCGTAATGTAATACGGTGCTTTATAAAATACGGCTGCGAGACTTGTACAATAGTGGTGAATACTCAAATTTTTTCAATTTATATTTTGCAATGTGTAGGTTTTTTTTATGATAGTAAGTGCAGTTGTTGCAGTGCCACTCAGAGCTGTAAATCGCAAAGATTTGAGGGGCACTGCCCCTTCGCCCGTCACCTTTAGACATAAGTTGACAAGCCTCATGTGCCTGTAATTTCACCAGCACCGTTGAACCTTCAAAGGCAGAATCCAGTAATGTTCACATTACTACTTGGCCGCGGAAATGGACAAAGTGGCAGTACTCTTAAATTATATAGGTACAACAACAATAATAAAATTGACGTTTCGTCCACCAGGATCCCCTAGCTCAATCCCCCATGGGATCCATAACGTTAAGCCCTATTCACACTATGGTACCTTATAACAACACAAGCTAACAAAAAAAATAAACAATATATTCTTATCTATATTATTAAAGGGAAATAATAAAGGTGAAAAACGAGTGAAAAAAAGCCGAAAAACAAATGAAATTGCAGCGAACTATAGCTAGTTGTAATACTAAGTTGCGTTAAATTGATACTATCGTTTACTTAACTATATCCAAAAATTGTCCTACAGTTATACCATTATTCAATAATTCCAGCAGCACTTCTTGAATGAATTTATCATTTGCAATTTCATTTTTTTGCCTCTTTTCTTGAGTTGTCGTAGCTTTTGTTCAGAAACTCTTTTCAGTGCATTTAACAATATGTAAGATGTTTGGGCGTTTACGGCCAATCATTTCAATTAAACCTGAGTTCCAGCTTTCGCTAGAATTGTTAGTACGATGACTGTCACTGAACACCGACCACATTTTTCTAACGTCGTCGTTTTTGAGCCAATATTTCATATAGTTTCCTAACTTCAATATGTCATTGCAACTTTACATATATTTAACTTGGGGATTCTAATGAACTACGGAGTTCACAATGATCCTCTGAGGGATTGGGCTAGGGGATCCTGGTGGACTCAACGAAAATTTACAACCCTACGTTTCGAGTGACGTGTAGGCATTGACGCCCCTAACAGGCGGGTGTTGGACTACTTGTTTTATTATTATACGATGTTGTTATGCAATTGCACAAATGCCCATTAACTTTAATGTTTCATACTGTAACAAGCTGTCTTAAATTTAGCTTTGATAAAGGACAGTATTATTGTTAATGACGCAATCAATTTAATGAACGTTTACGCAACTTAATTGTTAATCATTAGAGGTTGACGGGTTTATATATAACCGTCACCATCTTGCGGAATTTCAATGAACTAATTCATCAATTTCGAGTTCAAAAGTAACTTGTGGACCACATATTATACTTACCTACTTGATTATCAATTGATCCTTACCGATGAATAATTGGTAACTAACTTGCAACAGGCAAGCGACTTGCCTAACTTAAACACGTAATCAAAAGTATTATAGTTTGTGGTTTTTTGTATATGAAATAGTGCAATAAAATATTTCGGTGCAATAATAAATTAATTATAACTAAATTGAATTTTAGGGCTATATGTTATTCTTATATTCTTTGTAATGGTTCCGTGCCAAAATAAAATCGATAACAATGTCTGAAGAGAACTGTCGACTACAATTGTTTTTTATACATATTTCTGAAATATATATCATATTGGAGAGAAGTGATTGTAATCCAAAATTATGTGAACGTGTTATATACTCTTCCAAAAACAGTTAAATATATCGTATAGATTATTAAATATGACTTAGCGTTAAGTTAAGAAATATATTGCACATTTTTAGCTCTAACAGTGTCACAAGTAAAAAATCATCATCAGAGTCTTTCCTGCTTTTGGGTAACAAATTGGAATAGGAAAAAGGCTAAGTTCAGATGACAAAAAATTATCACGCGTCTAGATCATACATTTTATATATATGCGCTCATATATTCGCGGGGTAACGCGCGTTAGGCTCAATTTATATTGCGGCGGAACGGAATGAAAACGAATTTTTGTAACGATACTGCACATAACATAATGAACTTATGGTCAAATTGGAATTGAGTGGAATTCTCGCTCATTCCGCGGAAGATAATAACGCACACACTCAACATAGCCCCGCACTAGGGAAACCCTGTGTCGCGGGTGCCATGGACACACACATAGACAACCACAAATTACACCCAAACTCATGAGAGAAATAATTGTAGGCCATATATTTCTCCCGGCCCGGGAATCGAACCTGGGACCTCTGCGTGGCAGTCCGGCATGGTAACCGTTCGGCCACGGAGGCAGTTAGATTTGTGGTTCGTATCGAGTTTGTACGTTACACAGTTGACCATATAATGAACTGCTATGTACAATATCCTTACAAAAATTCACTTCCATTTCGTTCCACCGCAATATAAATTGAGGCTTAACGTGTGGTACCGCCGTATTCACAGGAAATTCTTCAAAACGCGTATCACCGCTGCAAAAACGTGTTGCTGCGCGCTTAGAATTATAGGCACTGACAGTGTACCTGTTCAGATTACCGCGCGTCATCGCCTCGCCTCATCTGAACGTTTCAACGCGTGCGTTCATCTGAACCTAGCCTTAGTCTAAAGTTAGCTTCTCCCACTTTTGACAACTGATCTATGAAATATAACAGTCACTTTCTTACTTATTTTTTTAATGTGTCAGTGTTGAATCCGGTGTGCGCTATAAGGTGGTAACTTATTAGCTGACAATCATTTGAAGGTATTCAGTATAGTTCGTGTTTGTCATAAAGAACTTTAATTATGGTGTCTTGTATGAAATCGACAAAAAGTACCTGTTTCTTTGATACTTACAGGACTTTTTTTATGCAATCCGTAAAAGGATCTCAATTAATAAATTAGGACTTTACATGAATAAAATTTTCTGGACTGGACTGTAATTAACTGGAATCTTAAGTAATAAAACGTTAGGGTTATTTTTAAAATACTCCTAAATACGGAATTTACATTTAATGATTATCCCTTTGAGACCATAGATGTTGTAACACGTCCGAAACGTCTAGGTAAACGAAATAAATTTATACGCGCTTAAGACCCGATTTTTTAAAGCAAATAATGTAAGGAAATCGTGAAAGTTTAAGTTAATACGGAATTTATGTCAATAAAGTTACATTTGGAAACTTCTAGAAAAAAATTCGCTTTCCCGTAGGAATTTGCATAGAAATTATGTGCGAATTTAAGAACGACAAAAAAGTGTGTTTTAAAGATATTACTTTATCTATTGAACAAGTAATTTCTTATCAAGTAAGTGAGGAACTCATCATAGGTTTACTATGTTGCGACCACGTAATAGTTCTCATTGAGACCGCTTGGAGCGCCATACATTTTGTAGTACAAAATTGTCACCTAATAAAATATCTTAGTACAGATGGCTCCCTTATTTTACAAACAACCCTGTACATTTTCTAATATTGTTATAACGTTATGTAAAACTCGTGGATTTACATATAATTCATATTATATAAATACTAAGTGGTGCTAAGACCTGTGTATATTAATGCTATGTTAAATAAATAAAAAAACAAATAAAACATTTTCGTCCGATACCAAAAAAAAAGATAACCACCAATCTGTAAGTATATTTTAGTTAGACATAGTCCAATTGTTCATTATTGTCTTCATATGTAAAATAATTTCGCTGATATCTCTGTGTAAAGCTGACATATTACTTTTAACCTTGGTGGCACTAGTATTAACTTTTGGTCAACGATATCTAGACTGAGGTCTTTGCTTCTGGCACATGTTAACGGTGGAAGAAATTAGTTTAATGTAGAGCTTCCTTTTTCTTTTCTTTAAGGTTTCTTAAGCTGAGATTTATAACATCAAACTTTCATTTCGAGTGACCAAAAAAGGATAATCAATAACCTGTCAATCATGAGCAGTTTTGCGGAAATGACACCTAAAATTTTTTTCGTTGTTTTTGATAGTTGGTTGTAAAAACTTATAAAACGAAAACGTTTACTGTTGTGACCTTAAGAATGATGAATTGTTGTGATTCATTATTATTATATTATATATTATAATTCCCCAACAACAACAAAAGTTGTCATTTAACAAGTAAATTTTAAAACAAACTAAAAAAACGAACAAAATTTAGGCGCCATTTTGGCAAAACTACGATCATGTTGGTTGACACGTATTGTATAACAGCATCCAAACAGTCAGTTAAACAAGATTTTCGTATTTACAAAATGAAATGCCTAAGTTTAAGCAAGAAATCAAATGAAACTTGTAAGTTTACTTCGTATTTATTTACTTAAACGTCAGTTTATTATATATATCACAAATCAGACTATGATTTTCTACCGATAACTTGTCCCAAAAGTCCATTCTGACTCCATTTTAGGTTCAAGGGAACTTGTGAAGCTTTTTATCAGAATATCTTTGCAATTGACTAAAAACGATAACTAACAAGAAAAATACACTCTACATACTCATGGATGGAGAATTTCGAACAGGTTGAGTTATTATAACAATGTTCATATGAGCCACTGACCACATATACCAGAGTGTTTGAATTTTGAAGTCAATTATTAATCAATAACATTGACTTACAAATAAATGGACGACGGGTCTAATACAAAAACCACGTAAAAAAATGTCCCAAGTCAACCTATTTAAACGTAGTGATATGTAAAGGAATATGAAAAAGCTAAAACGTTGAATTTAAATTGTAATGTCATCGCAGTACTGTCTAATTTTGCTTCTGTCAGTCGAACAAACGAAGACTAAAGCGTGAATGACGCTCTGTATACGATTTTAACGCCCTATAAGTTCGGACACTTTTTAGCGCGGACCCGACGTCCATATAATTGTAAGTCAATGATCAATAACAAGATTTTGTTTGAAAAAAGAATGACTTCAACCTTGATTAAACGTCTACGTTCTGGTATATGTGGCCAGTGATTCATATATTGATAAAAATATTGAACGACACAAATGAAATTCCTTATGCGTAACTGAATGGAACGTAAGCGTTGAATATTGAATAACAAATGAATGCGGCACTGAGGAACTCACCGTGAGTTTCTACGATCCGACGTCGCTTCGTGAAACGATGTCGCATCGTAGCACGACGCGACGTCGTATCGTGTTTATGTGTAAGAGCCCTTCGCGACGTGATTTTTGGCTTGTATCAAGTTTATACGTTACACAATTGACCATAAAGTTCATTACGCTATGTACAATGTCGTTACAAAAATTCGCTTCCATTCCGTTCTGCCGCAATATAAATTGAGCCTTAGATCCATTCAGTATTTTTTAATTTTCTAATTGTGTTTTCCGCATTCCACAATTTTGAGTTAGGACAATAAATAAATAAATAACGTACACACTCAACATAGCCCCGCACTAGGGAAACCCTGTGTCGCGGGTGCCATGGACACACACATAGACAACCACAAATTACACCCAAACTCACGAGAGAAATAAATGTAGGCCATATAAATATTTCTCCCGGCCCGGGAATCGAACCTGGGACCTCTGCGTGGCAGTCAGGCATGGTAACCGTTCGGCCACAGAGGCAATGTTTGGTTTCACTTGCGATTATATCCATGAGTGTATGTTAAGTGTTACTTTATAATGCTAACTTTCCTCTTTAACGTTCCTTCCTTTACTTATAAAGATTTTATTGTAATGATAAGACCTGGTTGAAAAATAAGTCCAAAAATTGTTATATTGTACCTTGCTGTTAATGTTCTATTATAGGTTGTAAGTAAAAATGAAAATATACAACGATTTATGAAAAACAATGTCGTTTTATTTGAAGGACGTAAATTAATTACAATTTAAAACGTTAATGCAAAAAAATAATTCAAAATGCATTTTTTTTTTCACCCTTTTCTTGCCTTGGCCAGTGTTTAAGCTGGAAGGGTCATTTCTTCGTTATAGTACAAAAGCAATGGTGGCATATTTAATAATTAATTACCGATAAAATTTAATTCCGTTTGAATGGAACACATCACGCCATTGTTAGAGATTGTCTTTATTAGAATAAATGCAGAATATTTTTGGAATATACGGAGACGTACACACAAGTCAGTTGTTGGGGCTATCTATATTTCAGTGCAAACGAGAGTTCATATTTATAAGTAATGTATAACTATGAATTAATAGGAATGTATGGCCCTTATTTCGTCTCTATTTCTGGTTATATACTCGATGTAATCAAGTGACGGTACGAACAAGTCATGCGCCTGCTGGTAAGCTACACGCCTGTATTTCTGCCGCCAAGCAATAATGTGAGCATTACTGCATTCCACTTTGAAGAATAAGAGAGCTGGTGAAACTAGTCACACGAATTTGTCGACTTCATGTCTTTGGGTGACGGGTGGAGTGGACTTCATATTAACGTGAATTAAAGATCTGAGTGGTACTGCCACTGTTATGTAAAAAAGTGTCGCTTACCACCAGGCGTACTTGTTCACCGTCAATCAACATCATTAAAAAAAAGACCCGTGCCAAGAAGTGGAAGGCATGAATTTTGATTGGTACGTATGAACATTTCCCGTGAAGCAGCTCTGCCTCTACTATGAGTATACAGTAACAATCGCGCTAGCGATCGTGTAAACTATTTCGCAGTTTTGTGTGGGAAATTCGACAGCGCCCCCTAGTGGTGTCAAGAAGAAGTAACTAATATTTTGTTTACAAATAATTTACACGGTCGCTAGCGCAATTGTAACTTGAAAACTGAAACAGACCTAACTGTTGTTAAAAAAATACTAATAACAAAACTATAACCCTAAAATATGCTTGTTTGCTGCCTATATAATATAAAAAATACCCTAAAACCAACAAAACCACTGGCCAAGGCTAGTCTTTGCATTGACGGTTGAACGGAAGCGGTGACAATGGAATTAGGCAGACATTTGAAGGTCTAGAGTCTTCTGTAGTTCCAGGAACTTCGAGATCAGGATCTTCAGGCTTGTTGTCTGCCGGTGCTAGACGATCTATTCTGTGTCCATTGCCACCTGGAATGAGAGAAAGATTTATTAGAAACAAAATAAATGCAATTGAATATAAAATTTACTTCATACTATTTTTTTTTATAATATCAAGTGACGGGACTAACAAGTTGTGCGCCAGGTGGTAAGCTACACGTCTGTCCATAACAGTTACAGTGCCACTCAGAGCTTTAAATCGCAAAGATATGAGGGAAACTGCCACTGCGCCTGTCATCATGTTACATAAGTAGACAAGGGCTGTAATTTCATCAGCATTTTATTGCCTATCCTTTCTCTCTGTAGAGTAATTACCCTAGTAAAGTTTTACTACTCTTCTTACATTTTACCATGCAATCTATTTTTATACGTTTACATGACCAATTGAAATTAGTATAGCTGGAGAAATATTATTTGCACCGATGAAGGTTATGTCACGTTGGAACGGCTTATCCTATTTCTATTACAATAGAGTTATAAAATGGTCACTCACAGACTAGTGTTCATTACCTAATTTCCGGGGCAATTTTTATTAAATATTCGATTTTTTATCGTACATTATAATTTAATATTCGATTAATGTATCGTGAAATACGTATAATGACCCAACACTAAACAGGCACAATAAAACTTCTTTTTCGTTACTGCACAACATGACGACAGACTAAATGATACGACAGGCCCTTTGCGTTCGTTGCTTTGCGTAGGGTCTCTTGGTAGTTTAATAGACGTTTAATATATAAATTATAAACAATAACAAATACAAACAACAATGTATGATGGGTATGTCATGTCGATTACTAGATTGACTTATATATTCTATCGAGTTCTTAGGTTTTCGCGATTGACAACAGGAGTCAACCGTGACCATGGGACCTGTAAAGGGCCCGAAACGTCGGTTTGTTTGAAAAAACAAATATACGCGATTTAAATCCGGAAAAATAGTTTCATTTTATATATTCTACTTTTTTTCTGTTGAAAAAAAAAGTAAATTGTAGATAATTCAGTATGTATGGGCCACCTTACTCCGTACATGGATTGTAGTGTTAGTACGCAGAGAAAAACTTGCAAAGACAATGGTCAAAGTATATTGTACGTAAAAATACAGATACTATGGTGGCAAATCTTTCCTTGACGTTGTGTATAGGTGGATAGTTGGTAACGTACTACGTGAAAACAGTGAATTGCATGTTTAAATAAAAGTGCGGCACGTGGCAAAAGGAGATCGCCGCGTGCGCAGAGTTATGCCGAAGAATGTATGAAACCATACATGTTGGCAACCCAAAAGAAAGAACAAAGGTAGTTAAAGTAAAAAATAATGATAAAGGACTACAGATAGGCCAGTAAAAAGCAAACAAAATAATTATTGAAATTGACCGCAACGTAGTTTTCCGCTTTCGTAGTAGTGGTAGGTTAATAACGAATATTGGTATTTTTAACCGGCTTCATATGTTACAATAAATACACGATAACATACTTGAATATGTAAATAATAAAAATTTCCACGGAAATTATATAGGGAATGACAGAAAACCATTACTTCTTTTACTCAAAGACCACATGGACGTAACAATCTTGATCCATCGTACCAGTCACAGGTATGCTAAATTCTTTTTCTGAATTCTAGTTTCGAATTATTTCTTTACTCTTCGGATCGTTTCTTTAAACTGTATGTACTTCGTCAAATACCGCCTGCCAACTATCTTCTTACTAATGTTCTACATAAAGAACTAAGTATCAAGTTCAGAATTAAGTGCCAATGCGTAAAAGTGTACAGACATTTGTTTGTACTATAACAGATGGCACGTGCGTTACTGAGACCGCTCACTCTTTTGACCTATTGTACTGTAACGATCAAAGGATAAGACGAATCGGTGCAAATAATATTACGCCAACTATAAACACATTTTTTTTATTATCGTATTAGACTACATCACATACATTGCTCTGATTCCAAAAGTAGCACTTATGTTGCACATAGGAAACATCGACGGTAGCAAAAACACTCAAGAGCCGAGACATTATAGAAAAGTTAGTTTCTACCCTTTCGACCCCTTTTCTAGTTTTACCCGACCGGGGATCAAACACGGGGCCTCAGTAATGTTGACACAATGAAAACCGGTGCGCATGTCACTCGACCACTGAGGTCGTCAGTGTACTCAAGGTCATCAAATAGTTTATATAATTAAATTTAATTTAAATATTAATTTAATTATATCAAAATTTATATTTAATTTACTAACATACTTTATATCTTAATTGTCACTAACAAAATGGATCGAATAGATAATCTGATTAAATGATTATTATTATTAATTAAATTGAAATTTAAAAGCACAAGCTAGAATTTTAGCCAAATAAAACTGGAACAAGGAAGGATTAAAGATAATACAATCATTCCCTTTATTCAAAAAGACACTAAAATTCCACATTATAAAATGTAATTCACCACCATAGGCAATAATCGCTTTCAATCTTAAATCTGATAGCAATTGTGTATACGTAATGTGAACTCTCCACATAGTCACCTTGTTGTACAAATAAAATATTTCTGATTACGTACATTAAGAAAAATAACTTTTCATTGTTGATATTCTAGCATGATTTATTTCAAAACATTAATTTTAAGACTAAGCAACAATAGTGAATGTTTGTATTCTGTTTTCAGAAATAAATGTCTTAAAGCATAAAAAGGAAATAAAATAATCGCACGTTGAAGGACATAAAAAGAACATGTCTAATACAAATTGACCCCGACGTGATTTGAACACGCAACCTTCTGATCTGGAGTCAGACGCGCTACCGTTGCGCCACGGAGTCGGTGACTAAGACACCGAAATATCGCTACACTATACTGCGCACTACATTCATTACGTAATCTTCTATTATCTGTTCGCAGTACTATAATCTTTTTATTCTTATACTAATGTTTGTCACAGTTTCACACTATAGTATAACATTTTAAGGTAAAATTTAAACACCTAATCTTAGTGTTTTTAGTATTATTTATCTTCCAATAATTATTTTTTTAGAATAACGTTATCTGTACATTTAGATAGTGAAACGCGTACCTAATTGACTTTATGGCTAATTTTTTATTTCATATATTTTTAATGTACCTAAAAACGATTTCGGTCAAAACCACTGGCTGTTTTCACATAAACTACTTGAAATCTTGGTTACTCTGATAAGACTTCATAAAGTTTGGTTACCCGCGTGTACTAATGAAGGAATTTTGAAAATATTTTTTATTGAAAATGAAGACTTAAAATGGTGGCGCAACTTACTTATTCATTATATATACATATACATAACATAACATAACACTGCAGAAATTAGTCGAGTGTAAACTCAATAGAAAATACAACGTACATACATAACATCGTATCAGAAGCGTACTACATTACGTGCAAACAAATTGTAAACAATTATGTAAACGTATTTATATTAAATTGTAAAGTTACCGTGGTGTTACTCTGAGCAGTTTATTTAATGAAAATGAAAGCAAATCCAAATCATATGACCTATATTTATATGTTTTATCATCACCTTAGAGTGAAAATCTCGCATACGCGTTTTCACAGTTCGTTTTTACTGATTTTTGTTGAAGAAAAACTTATAAACTTCTTGCTTGGGCATTTTAAAAACTGAGACAAATAAATTTAAAGCAATTAATATTCTTACTCACTTTTCTTACTCAGTACGTTCATGAAAATGTAATTTAAGTAGTTTTTTTTTTCAACTCAATCGTAGCGTATATAGCGTACAGAGAATTTCCTACGATTCCTGCACAAGGCAAAGCCCGTCTCGCGGGTAATCGATAAAATCATTGTTACTTTTAAAAGAATAACGCCAAACCGTTTTTTCTTTTCAATTCAATTCATAAGATTTTCATTAAGATTCAGAAAATTTTACATATTATGATCAAACGTTATTATTATTATATTACAATATTACATCATATTTCATTAAATTTTTCCATAAATACATACCATAACAGATGTTATTATTACTGTATATTGAAGTCTTTATTATTTATTATATCAAAAATTCCCGCTACATAGAACTACGTCGCTCAGCTGTAGTCTGCCTTTAAAAGAAATATACCATATTGTTGAGGAGCTAAGTCACATAATTGTATAACCCATGGCGACTTAAGCTGCCAAAAACATGCTGCGCCGGCCTATTTACTCGTTTGTTTCTTTGCATTCAAACATATTTATACTTTATTTAATAAAGAACATGTTCCATATTATATTGTATTATGGAAAAATGCGCGCTGTGCCCGTTGCAGATACTTCTATCTAATCCGACTTGAAAAAATGTAGGGAGGTTTTCAATTAGACGGTTTTTTTAACATACACATGTTACGAGATTATTCCGCCTTATTTTTGTGAACCAATTTTGACGATTCTTTTTTGAAAGTGAGTACCTCAGTAGTGGTATTAAAATATTCCACCTCCGATTTTAATAAAACTAGGCAAATATATGGAATTCCACTAACTTTTGAGGTTGTTTTTTTTTTATAAAAAAGTAATTAATGTTTGTTTTAAGAAATGTACCCTTATCCATCATAACTAATGCATTTGCCTAAAACTTAAACTAAACAAGATATCAACAGGGTATTAATAATAATTCATACAAATTAACTTTAGTACATATTTAAAACTGCAGATGGCGACACTAGTACAAAAGACAAATCAAAATATTGAATCTCGAAAATTTAAGGCATGTCATACTAAACAAGAAGTATAAAATGTACAAAAAGAAATGCTAAACTATTTAAATAACACTTTATGAATGTTCAATTAAAATTAATTTACAATTTTATTATGATAATGGGTGAAAATAATATAACTTTCGTTGAAAAGATAACAAATCGAAGGTTTCTCAATGGTATACTTTTTGATTAGTTAGTTTCTAATAAATTGTACAGATGGCATTTCTTTGAATTTATTCTCGAAACGTATGTAACGTTTAGGCCCTGACTTTTATTTTAAGATATTAAAAACAAACTTAGCTTCTTCGCGATTTTATTAAATATTATTGTATATTATAATCAACGCCTGAACAAGAGCAATAACCTTGACAAAAATGTAACAGCTGCCATCTGTTAGTCATTTCGAATATTACTACAATAGCATCACTGGTTTCTTGACACTATTTATTGAACAGCGCGTTAAGATTCAAAAATATATATAGTAGCAGGTAGATACATAAAAAAGTAAGAAAGTTATTTTTTTTATTTATATAGAAAATTTCATCGAAGGCCGTACCATCGGGCATCGTGCCCTGAAGGCTGGCAACATTTCCCCTTTGAAATGCTAAACTTATTCTTTGGCGAAGATAACTGCCAGGCTTGTGATCACCGGAGGCTTCTACGAGGCGATCCGACAGCTCATTCGCTAGAAGTTTCGCCTGTGGCTCCCATGGACCCAGGGTTTCAACCGCAAAAGGCACAAAGCTGTAGCACTGAGCAAGGGTGGCGTATTTGAGCCTTTGCGGTTCTCGGCCGCTCTGGCCACAGAATCAAAATAAGCATATTATACTTGTCACACTTGTAAGTGGAGTTACAAGTGCAATATTTCTTTACTAGTATAGTAGTACGTTATATGTGAAGATATAAAAACAAAAAGTTTATAATAGGCTGTTGTAAATCTCGCTTGCTGATTCCAGATATGTTAATAACTCAATTACGCTAAAAATGTCGATTAAGTTAGTTATGATCCGGAGGGCAGTATACACCATAGTTCTCAGTGGCTATGTTATTATAATCATCAAGTTATTTAAAAAAACTGAGGGTATGCTTGCTTGGGCCTTAAGCATTTAATTATATCTAGAACATTAGGCGTTTAGCGCTTTTCTCGCTGTAGTTTCCTGGGCCTTAGGAGGTTAAGTCTGTGCTTCTTGTTTGACTTTGCAGTAAGGCAATGTTTGACGCGGATTTTGCCTCGTTTTATCCAGTAAATACACACATTAAAGTGTCTAGGGATCAAGCAAGTTTGTGCCAATGACTGAAAATCAGGTTTTTTAATTATTTTTTTAGTCAATGGTTTTTTGGTCAATTACATAATTTTAAACATAATAATTTCATAGATTTATATAGATATTTTTATTTAATTTTATTAGGATAATTAAATATTTTTCATGAGTGTATTTTAGAATCGGGTTACTCACCGCCGGCTGGGGGTCCCGGTCTCTGGGCTCGTCCCCCCCTTCCCTTTCGGGTGCGGCGCCCGCGTCGCCAGTCGCCGAGGCCCCTCCCCCGCGCCGCTCCTCGCCTTCTACAAGCGCGAGGAAGCGAGACAGCTCAGCTTCTTCGCAGATGCGCAGTGGTGTCTTCGGGCCCACGATTGCTATTGACACGTTCTGCAATTGGGGATATGATAATGAGATAGGAATGCTGTTAATAACCTTTTAACGAAATCTTCGGCTTTCGGTTGCATTTTGAAAAAGTTACTTAGTTACTTTAGTTAGTTATATTAAATAGTGTTATAAATTTCTATTAAAATCTATTTAGCGTTAGTATATATTTATACTTTGGTTTCTTTACCATTAGACAAGGAAATTTGGGCCTTTTATCACGTTCATTACGTTTTATAGAAACTTTTTAAATAGGAATAAAATATTATTATGTCCTTTATAAATATCATTTTCAGTCATCAATTCTCATGAAGTTTTCCTTTACTGTATTTTGTAATCTGAAGAAAAAGGTTTATGATCACTGCCTCTTTGTTTACGTTTTTTATAATTCTAGAAGAACGAAATACAGTAACGCTTAAATAATAACACTACTGTACTGATTTTTTTTTTTTTAAATTATAATAATTTTTGTACTTTCTATATACAAAATGTCAAAGAATTTTGAAGTAATTTTTCTTCAAAATCATACTAAATTGGCATACGGGAGTTTTCATCCTGCGCTTGGAATATAAAAACGCATTACTTCCACAACTAACTTAGTTAAGTAACAACGCAAAAAAAATAATACAAGAAATTAAAAATTGCTGAGTAATTATTCAAGTACAGTACACAACAGTGGCAACAATGTTGTGACATTGTAAATAACAACATTTGTAAATACTTATTAATGCAATGAACACTGCGCCTGGAGTATTGAACTAAGGTTCATATACAGGTTAGTCTGGGATATATTATTTATTTTGTCTCTAGTTCTTGCTGATTTAACTTATTTCAATCAATATTAAGTTACTGTAATTTTTTTATAACCACTGCAGTGCTACTCAGTGGTTTAACGGAACCGCGACTACCCCCGTTATCTTGAGACATAAGTTGACAAGTCTCACGTGTCTGAAATTTCACCAGCACCCTTACCCTCCAAAAACGGGATTTAGTAATGCTCAAATTAGTGCTTTGCAGCTGAAATAGGCATCGTACCGTGGCAGTACGTCTTTGGACGAACCTCTTTTATTACTGATGTTATGACAAGCACAACATGGATTTCAAAGTAATTGCTTTTAATTTTAAGTTATATACAGTATTAAACTAAGTTATCCACTAAGTTGACTTTTTCTAAAGGCGTTTTAAAAAATACCTTAGTATTTAAATCAACTTCATTAGGCAGAGTATCCCTCAAAGCTCTCAATCCATGAGCAACCAACTCCTGCAGATCGCAGTCTGCAAACGTGCTGAGATGCTTCTCTAAGTAGGTACGAGCAGACTGGGAACGTGCTCCGATGGCCATTGCACGGCAGTCAAAGAAGTTTGCTGATGGACATGTCTGGTAGATGTGGGGACCTTGATCCTGAAATACAGTAAAATTTTATACATACCATTTTTTTTAAATAATTAAAAGACAAGATAAATAGGGCGTTAGGTGGAATTCTACAACAGGCGATTTAGTCTCTATTTGGATGTTGGTGCAATTCATTAAAGCTATAATTACATAATTAAAACTATAATTATGTACGTACAAGAAACGTAATTAAAAACGTAATTATGTACAAGAAACGCTCCTGTGCTCGAATCAACCAACTGGTGTCGTGAATTTAAGGTAAGTAAGTAAGAAAAGTAGACCAATTACAAATACAATAATAAATATCCAACTTACATCATAACCGGCAACGAGAAGACCGACTCCCAGAGGTCTCTTATCGTATCGCTGTGTGCAGATCTGCATCTTGTTGCCAACCATCGCAATCAGGCGCCCGGTCGGCATTGGGGCGTCGTGCGCGTAGCGGTGGTTCAAACACTCCGTGCGCATATAGCGACTGGAAGATTAATTTATTAATAAATAATATAAAAATAAGTTAAAAGATTTTTTCAATACAAATTTAATGTTTATAGATATTTATGTAGACAGATGTTTTTGATATATATTGTAATGATGAGGTCCTATTGCAAAAAGTATGAAATTCCTATTCATATAGTTAGTGAATATCCAGTAGTAAGTCATCATAACAGGTACAGATGCCATGAAGTCTGGATGGATGCCATAAATTTTTTTTGTTATCTTGTTTGCAATAATACCTGTAGCAGTTGGATGTCAATGATGGCGTTGTAATGTCAATACCTGTGGATAATTGTACTCTATCTGGGGGTGTGGCGTCGAAGTGAGAGGCAAGACTTCACATGTGATATACCCCCAAACCTGCCTCACATTCACATTGTTCACTTCTTATTGCAATAATGACAATAGCCTTTACATAAGTACATTTATTTCTTACTTATTCTTTGATAAAGCATAATTTACTACTTTTACAAATTTAGTAAATACCTCAATACTATCAAGTCATATATCTTAATACTATCAAGACACAATGGCAATAATAAGGTCTTTCGTAATTCACATTTTTAGGGCACCTTCAAATTAGAAGCTTATACAACCACTATGGTGCTACAGCCGTGCTAATTTTCATACTATATTTAGAAGCACAATTGCAGCCTACTGTTGTGACACATACGTGCCAGTTTTGCAGTCTCGTTAATGAACTAAAAATTATAGAAGTGTTAAAGACATCGCACCATTAGTAGCTTGTCTATTTAAGCCTTTTAAGCAACGTTACCAATATTGTTTTCATTACAATTTTACGTTGCATTTTAAATTTTTACATTATATCTCTTAACTCAGCATGCCTCTTGGCATAGGCCTCCTCTAGATCTTTCCAGTGCGCTCTATCAAGAGCTAATCTTCTCCAATTCTCCTGCAGTTAGCTTCAGCTCATCTTCCCATCTGTGATGTTGACACCCTCTATTATGTTTTCCACCAGTCTATCTCCATTTTGCCTGATCTATCTTTGAAAACACATTGATTACCCTATAGTTCGTCTCCTAATACTGTCACTCCTGACTTTTTGAATCTTCCTCAAGCTCTAATTTGAAGACGCCTATATGGAAGACCGCAATCCTTGTACTCCAAACACATTTCCAAACCCTTCAAGACCGATTTCAAAATGTCTTAATAATTGATTAACAGATAATGAAATTAGTGATATAAGACAAAGAAACATTACCTCAACATCCTAGCATCAGCAGTCAATCCTGAGATAGAAATACCAATATGCTCATCTATTGGAATAATCTTCTTTTGGTATGCCGACAGCTCGCTCACTGCCCTCTTCAATGCAATTAGTACTGCATATTGTTTGTTCTTCAATCCTACAGTAGCTGAACCCAGCTTCACAGCTTCCATGGCATATTCCACTTGGTGGAGACGACCTTGGGGGCTCCATACAGTCACATCGCTGTCATACTGGTTTCTGAACTGAAAAATTTTATATATCTAGTAGTATGGTGCAAATAGGTGTGACAGATATATTTAGTTGTCGAAAGACAAGGGAACAAGCGTTTGATCTTGGATAATCATGTATGGTGGCCCATATTTAGAGATATACAAAGTAAATAATACAAATACAAATAAATGCAAAATTATTTATTTTTCTCGTCACAATGCTACAGGGCGCATATTAAGGATAAGGTACTTAGAATTAGTTATATTTATGGGAGACTGGAGCCTATACTAGATCTAGCTTGGATGTGTACAACACATCAAGTGGATATTGGAGACAAGAGAGACTATATTAAATATTATATTAACCTTAGAGCCAAGTCCAAACTCATGGTACTACAATTTTGTTTAACCAAGGTAAACAACTCTTTTATGGGGAACTGTATATGTTTTTACATGAAGATTTCGAAGCATATATTAAGTAAGATTACTTCTTGATATTTGTGCTCTATTAGTTACTTTATGTAATAATAAAAGCAATTTAAAAAAAGACAGTCAAAATGTTCTAAATATACTGATGATTTCAACATTTATTGTATTGATATTCAATTATTTTTTATGTGAAATGACTCCACTAGTTTGTTATAATTATTAATACAAAGATCGAACACTCAGAAAAAATTCCTGAGATCCGGTCGGATTCGAACCGACGACTTCTAACATACCGTGTCAGACGCCAAAAAGTCGTTGAATTCGTGAGGTCCACTGATTCGTTGGTATAGTGTCTGCCACGGTATGCTAGAAGACGTCGGTTCAAATCCCGCCGGATCAAAGGATTCTATCTGAGTGTTCGATCTTTGTATTAATAATTATAATATACTGATGATGTTTAAAAATTGTAATAAGTGATTTTATTAAAGTTTTAAGGTTATGTTACATTATTTACATTTTAATGAGAATTTTGTCTTGACCACTTGTAAAACTAATACTTTATTGTTATGAAGTACGTTGAATGCTAGTAATAATAAGAAATTACAATAATTTTAACGATATGTTGCGGATAATGACAATGCAAAAATATTTCGTCTTTAACATTGACCGATCTTTGTAAGTAGAAAATATTCTCCAATTATAACATTACGTTATTGAATTCTTAGTACTTACCATGTTGAATTAGAGTTTTAAATATAAATAACAGTAATTATTTGTGTTATTTGATACAAAACCGACGCGTTTAACTCCAAGACGCGATGAATAGCAAAATTTATTGGACTGTCAATGTGACAGTGACATTTGCGTTTTGTGATTGTTCCATGTCGTCATTCTTATGTCTATGATAAATAGTTTATATTTTTCTTTTATTCACAAAGATTTTTAAAAATACTTCCTTTTCATTTGTCTTTTGTCTCTTGTTTCCTATGCTTTCATTAAGAGTGATGATGTCGATATAAAGTTTTCCATGGACATGAATGTAAAAACTAACATTACTATTAACAGTGGCGGAAAAGTTTCAAAGTTTTGTAGTTACTTCATGTCAGTTTCATTACCAATGATAATGTGTTACTTTAGTTTATAATAACCAGGAACACGAAAAAATTCTCGGCTTCCCATGTCTTCTTGGATTAGCGGCTGTTGGTTAATTTATATGAAAACGCAAAATAACTTTGTTTAAATTTGTGAACAAAGTTTTTTCTTTGTACACGTAAATTAGGGGCGTTTTGGAGTTTCCACCTTTTTGTTATACACTGCTCTCATATAAAAAATACCTTTATTCATTCAAAAAACATGGCTTAGGTTTAAGATCACATGAGTAATTTCTTTTTTGTATATTTGAATTAGGAACATGCAAACAGCTAGACGGACCATCTTATAGACTACATGGTGTGTACTGCCTTTTAAAGACTGTCTCCGCGTCTTACCCGTGGATCACCTGCCTGGATACATCTCACCGTGTGCCAGCTTGATTAACTTAAAAAAGATTGTGAGACGTAAAGTCCTATCTCCCGTGCCTTTGACTTTTTACTTTTGGGTCCGAAAGTAGCAGTGCTTTGAACTAGAATGGATTATTTTTAGTAGATACGATTTTTGCTCAAATAAATTTTTAGTTTAAGTATTATTACGTTTTAACTTTCTTAACTATTTCTTTCCTAATTAAATTTTTATTGAATTGATATTCAATTATTTTTTGTGAAATTACTCCACTAGTTTATTATAATTATTAATACAAAGATCGAACACTCAGAAAAACACTCAGAAAAAATTCCTTCGATCCGGTCGGATTCGAACCGACTTGGTCTTTCAATTACAAAGACACGACGCAAGCACATAGAAAAATTCGTGAGGTCC